ATACAGGGAGCCTGATGTGGTACTCATCTCGGGACTCCAGGATCATGCCCTGAGCTGGAAGGCAAATGCTCAACTGCTGAGCCACCCAGGCATCCCCAATCTTAGGCTTTATTAAAAGTATCATCTAAACCACTGTTTTCCAAACTCATTCTAAATAGCAAACCCCTTCTCCTAATGCAATTTTATACAGAATTTATATGAAATATATTTGGGTTTGCCCCCTGAAGTCCTCCAAGTAATTCCTAGAGCTCTGAGAAAGAGCTTGAAAACCTGACTTAAACCAGAGAGTAAATTCCATACTCTTTTGTAGATCAAACTATTTGTAGTAAGATTAGTTCTGGTTACCACACTTTAAAGCATCTTTGAAAATCTTGACCCTACAAAATAATAATGAAAGGACTTGAAAATGTATCAGGGTGAGGGTGGGGATCCTGGGTGGCTCAGCTGGCTAAACATCAGGCTCTTTGTTTTGGCTCAGGTCATGATTCCATGGGAAATCACTCAGTGGGGAGTCTACTTTCCTTCTTTCTTTCCCTCTGGCCACCTCCCACTCGTGCCTCTAAAATAAAGGAGTTAAATCTTAAAAAAAAAAAAAGAAGAAGAAGAAGAAGAAGAAGAAGAAGAAGAAGAAGAAGAAGAAGAAGAAGAAGAAGAAGAAGAAAGAAAAGAAAATGTGTCGTGTAAAAAAAAAAAAACAGTGAAGGAGATATCTTCCTGGAAAAAAAAAAAAAGTTCTCAAAAACATCTGAAGTATCTGGAGAAGGGACTAGGACCTACTCCATGTATCTCCAAAAGGTAGAACTAGGGAAAAAAAGAGATTTAAAGTGTGTGACTAGTGTCCCAGAGCTGCTCTAACAAAGTACCACAAAATGAATAGCTTAAAACAACAGTCATTTATTCTCTCACAGTTCTGAAGCAAGAAGTCCAAGACCAGGCATCAGCAGGATCATGCTCTCCTCTCCAAAGGCTCGAGGGAAGAATCTGTCCTTGCCTCCTCCAGCACTGGTGGTTCCCGGCAATTCTTGGTTTCTTGGCTTGTAGATGCATTACGTCATTGTTAACAAGTGCCCGTGTCTCTGTGTCTTCTCCAACTCGTAGGACATCATTCATATTTAATGAAGGTCCAACCTCTTCCAGTATGACCTCACCTTAACTTCGACAATTCCATTTCTAAATATGGTCACATTCAGAGATACTGGGAGTTAGGACTTCAAACTTTATCTTTGGTGGGGGGTGGGGGGGTGGGGGGGGTTGAGACCACACTTTAATCCAGGATAGAGAGTATGTAAGCAGACTTCAGTCTGAAAGAAAGAACTTTCTAGTAAGATTTACTCAGAAGTGCAGTAATGTTCTGAGTTAAATCCAGTGAGTGAAGGTGGTTAGGAGTGATCACTCCAAAGACACTGAGAAATAACTAATTTATTGGTTAGGTTATTAGACTAGAAAATATAAATTCCTTTTTAGATGGTCAATAGGCAATAAGCTCATGAACTAAGTAAAATTTATCACTGTTTCACTATCTTTGCAACCCAAAAACTTCAGCTCACCTCTCCACTAATTGACTACACAAACTACGATACTTGGTGCTAGGAGGTACACACACCCCCTCCCTCAAACCTGACCCCCCTAACCACCAGCTTGTGTTTGGTGAAACTCATCAGCCTCCATTCAGTTGTCTAGGACAGAAATAGGAGGGTCATGTTAAGTATAAGTGTACTTAGAGCATGGATTTTGGTCAGACTCAGGCTTAAATTCCAGCTCCATCACTTTTAGGCTGTAATTTTGGGCAAGTTGATGATGATTAAATTTGCCCATTTTCTTATACTCCACTTTAGGCCACTGCCATTCTTTGTCTTTATTGCTTAAAATCTCCTAATTCTCTTTAATTGAAGTATAATGTTCAGTAACCTATTAATATTCAAACTGTGGAATTTAATGAATTTTGACATACATACGTATCTGTGAAACCAAGATAATCAAGTATTCATCACCTCAAAAAATTTGTTCCCATCACTTCAGACCTTCAGGCAAACATTTCTGATTTTTGGGACTGTAAGTTTGCATTTTCTAGAATTTTAAATAGAACAGCATACTTTTTGTGTGAGCATTTTCACTCAGCATAATAGAAATTTATCGATGTTTCAGTCTTTTTTTTATTGCTGAGTAGTTTTCCAATGTATGGATATCCCACTTTGGCTACCCACTCACCTATTGAGGGACATTTGTGCTGTTTCCAGTTTGGGTATTTTGCAAACTTGATACAAAGTTTTACGTACAAGTCTTTTTGTAAACATACACTTTCTTTTCTCTTGGGTAAACACCTAGGAGTGAAATGACTGATTTGTATAGTAGGGACATGTTTAACGTGAGCCTTGAACTCACGAGCCTGAGATCAAGATCTGAGCTGAGACAGAGTTAGACACTTAACTGAGCCACCCAGGGGCTCTCATGTTTAACTTTTTAAGAACTTCCAAATGGTTAGCCATCAATAGTGTAGGAAAGCTCCCACTACTCAACATCCTTGCCAAAACCTGGTATGGTCAGTGTAGCGAGTGTGCAGTGATTATCTTGTGTTTTTAATCTATATTCTCCTAATGACTGATACTCAGCAGCTTTTCATCTATTTACTTGCCATCTCTGTATTTTCTTCAGTTTACTTCAAGTAAAACAACATTCACAAAATTTGCTCATTTTTAAATTGGGTTTTTTTTGCTTCATGTTATTAGATCTTAAGAGTTAAAAAAAATGTAAGTACAAGTCCTTTATCAGATATATATTTTGCAAATGTGCCATTTTGCTGTTTCAAATTATCTCCTGAAAAGCCTACATTTTGAGTCTAATTTACAACTGTTTTTAGTAATTTGGTTCATAGCTAAGAAATCTTTACCAAACCAATATCTCAGAACTTCTGTTTTCCTGAAAAAGTTTAATTTTACTCTTTAAGTGTAGGATCCATTTTGGGCTAACTTTTGTATAGAAGATTTTTGTTTTTTACAAATAACTTTTCTAATGTTCTAGTACCATTTGTTGAATAGATTATTCTTCCCCCCGTAAGTACCTTGGAATCTTTAAAAAAAAAAAAAAAACAATTTCTGGACTCTCCCTTCTGTTCTACTGGTATGTGTGTCTTTATGCCAATACTTTATAATAAATTCATCATCATTTGTCTGGTACTGATAATGGTCTCATTTTTTCCCCTCCAGCATTTTGACCCTTCCAGCTCAATCTCCAGGACTACAGCCACGGTATTTTTCTTAAGTGCAAATCTGAATCCATCAGTCTCTGTCACCCATAAGATAAAGCCAAAACTCCATTAATTTTGTCTTTCAGATTCTAGCTCTAGTATTATCTCTCAATTTATTTTTAGCACCCCCTCATCCAAATTCAATGCTCCAAATACTGTCCTCTCACCCTGTGCACTTGCTTTGCTGTGTGCTTTATCTCAGATGCCTTCATCTTCACTCTTCCACCTTTCCCTGGCAAATACTCCCCACTTCCCCTGGAATTCTCTCCTGGACTTAGACAGTTTTGACTATTCTCACCTTGATGTTCATTCAGCACTGATTAGGCCATCGCACCAACTGGCACATTATTTTAATTACCCATTTGTTTTCCCTGCCAGATCATAAGTTCCTTGGGATACAGCAGGCACTCAATATTTGAATGAGTATAAAGAGGAGTAAGACAGGTCCTTGTTCTTCAGAAGACCCCAATACGATGTGGTATGCAGAGCAATAAACGTGCTTTCATAACCTGTCACTCCTCACTCCACACCTCCAGTGCTTTCTAGGGATGTTGTTTCAGTGCCTTGCTTCCTAGAAGGGATAACCTTTGGGTATTGGTCACTGTATTGAAATAAATTGCTTATAAGGATAATTTGAGACCAAGGAAGAGAATAGTTTCCTTCACATAACTGTCATCTGTTCCTGGCCACCTCTGAGGACACTGCCAGACACCTCACTTCAATCCAAGTTCAAAGTCTGACATTCCTTGAGCCACTCCAAGATGAAAATCTCAATCAGGATTGTTGCCTCATGTGACCCTTACTCTAGGGATGGAGCTCTGCTGGTTTCTGGCTTTAGTTTTGATGGGTGGGATGCTGGTGTAGTGGTTCAGACTCCTCATCTTGTTTTCTGGGCAACATTCCCTGTGATACTGTCAACACACTGGTAAATGAATGCCCTAAGGATGAAAGGAACATAGTGCTAGGCTCAGCTGTTTAGTAGAAACTGAAAGACCAATTTCAACCTTACTCTCACTCACAAGCCTCTACATCATTGGGCCTTTGGCTGTTGGTCCCCCACTGGCTGACTCTGAACTAGCCACATTATCATCCAGTTTGGCCTTCACACGAAATCTGTCCCAAGGCTTCTGAACTTGGGATCACTGAACTTGCCCAGAATCCATCTTCAATGTTTATAATTTTCAAGCCTTCACAGTTATTCCAAGTCAACTCATTTCCGTGATTACCAAAAATTGCTATTTATCTGTATCTTTTAGGGCTCGCCACTTTTGATGTTGTATTATTTTTCTTTATTACCCCACCTATAACACATGCCCTTTGAAGATATAGGCTTTCTTTTATCTGTCATCCTTCTTAGCATAGAAGGTACTAAGTACTTGTTTAATGTCCGTTTTTAAAGAGTATTAGGTTTAACTTTATGATCTCAGGTCTCCTCAGACATAGCTTAAAACAATTATAGTCTTAATTTGTAAATATATTCAAGGTAACTAATTTACCTTAGAGATAGGGCAAAAGTATGAGAACATTTTTTTTTTTAACAAAAGAATATAACCGGTGAAAAATGGTTAATGGTTTACTTCAAAGCAATTTTTTTTCGAACTCTCCAGGATAGGAAGGGTAGGATGTTCTGTTGTGGCACTTCACACAGATGGTGGTTTAAATGTATGTTTCAAAACTGCTAGCACCTGATTAAGTTTCTTTGGAAAAGTTAGTATAAAAATGCAAGTACAATCAAATTTATTTAACAAACATTTATTAAAAGCTTATAGGATAGGTACTGTGTGCTACATGCTGGGGACACAAACACCATTGAGACATTGTCCTTCCGTTAAAGAATCCAGGATAGAAAACTGGTAAAGGGGTGGGAAGGGAAGGACAAAGATAACCTTGTAACTACTACATCTGAACTGGACTTTTCAGGTAGGAAAGCAGATGATGAACATTCTAGGAATATGGAAGAACATGAGCAAAGCACAAGCAGTCTTATTTTGCTACTATTCACAGAACAAAGTGTGGATGGCTTATGAACAGCCTGGGAACATCAGGATCAGGCAAGGGGACTGGAGGAAAGGAAGAGATTTCAGGTATTTTTTTTAAAGATAGGTTCAATAGAGCTTAATGACAAAAAATGTCAGAGGGGACTAGGAAATAGTGGTAATTCTTCATTTGGATAACTAGGTTGGATATAGAAACACCATTGTGAGAGTAAAGAAAAGAGAAGTATGTTCTTGGGGATGTGAGAGGGGACATAAAAATTTTTAATGTTGTTAGATACCTTTTCTGCAGGACAGAGCCATCCTCATTAGGTTCTTGCCTGAGTTTTATCTACCCACAATAGGTCCTTGAAGGCCAAGTACCTATATGAGAAGACATCTTCTACCTTAGTTTATTTCAACTTTCCTTATTAGAACATTTTCAAATCCACTGAACTAGAAAGAGCAGATGGGTACTTCCACTTACATATTTTGCCTTAAGCAAACATTAAAAAGAAATCTCATAAGCAATTTAAAAGATTTATTGATAGGAGTTCCCAACAGCATAGGTATGGAACCACTGTGGCCTTGGCCCATATTATCCTAGCACAGAAAACCCTTAGTTGCATCATTCAGTTCATCTTTAATTTTGCTGTATGTTAGTGTGAAAGGTACTAAGGAATATAGGGACTTCAACAGAATCACTTATCCACAGTGGCTTAAATCTTCTACAAGAGGTAGAAATTATTTTAGGGATTATAATAAAGGAAGAGAGTGTCACTGAAGTACAAAGGAAGATGGATCTTGCATTTATCTAACCAGCTATTGTTGAGGGTTGCAGAAACAGCAAGTTGAGAAATGGAAGTACAGGTCTCCCAAAGAAGAGTAAGATGCTCCTGGGGCAAGCAGATCTCCAATGAATAGAAAACTTAGAATATCAGCTGAGCATATTAAGTTTCTTCCTGCTATGAATAACAGAGATGCTTATCTCCTTTTCTCTTCTTATAGCCTCAGGAGTCACTCCACTACGTGTAAGTTGATTGATCTGTGTGTATATTCAGGAAAGCATCCCAAAGTTCTCTACAGTAGATCTGCATTTATCATACAACTTAAAGTTCAGCAACACCAGACTCATGGTAACTCTAAGCAGTGCCTGGGTCTCAATTTCCACCTTTTCTGAAAACACCAGTCTTTTAATCAGGACTTCTTTAATTAAAGCATGAAGAATCACTAAAATACACTGGGCTACACTAAGTAAACATGATCAGTTAAATAAATAAAAGCACTTTAGTGACTATCTTCATTCTATTGCAATTATTTTTGGAGTTGGATATTTTACTCTTTCGACAATCCTTTGAAGATCACAATCCTCTGTAAAGAGAAACTAGTACAAAGTAAATTTTACATTATAAACTACAAAGAGATTTAATATCTATCCAATTTAATATTCAAGTCTACATAAAATAAATCAATGACAACCGCTTTATTAAAAGTTACTGAATTCCATAAAGCACACAATGTAATTTATATTCAACTAACAAAAGTTTGATACATGTATTTAAAAATATATAATATATAGATTTGTCTTAACATTTATATTCTATTCAAAAAGCAGTAGCTTTACATATGGTACAACTTGAATTTATAAAATATATATACATCCACCCTATTCAAATCCTCAAGCATGAGCTTCCATTCCTATTAATAAAATGCACAATTTGTATTTCTGAATATTGAGAGAAAAATGGTACCAACTAAAAACAACAAACTCATTTTAACTTGCACAAGGACTTAATTCTTAATACTAGATAACTGATACAATAATCTTCTTGAATAATTATTTTACCCCAGCCTGCCAATCAATTTGCATTTATGTAAATCATCTGTGGTTAACTATGATGAGACTTCCACTTATTTTCATGGTATCTGACAATCTACCACATTCCTTACTCGACTTGTTTCAGGCTTTAAAATTAGAGAGGTGGGGGATCCCTGGGTGGCGCAGCGGTTTAGCGCCTGCCTTTGGCCCAGGGCGCGATCCTGGAGACCCGGGATCGAATCCCACATCAGGCTCCCGGTGCATGGAGCCTGCTTCTCCCTCTGCCTATGTCTCTGCCTCTCTCTCTCTCTCTCTCTCACTGTGTGCCTATCATAAATAAATAAAATAAAAAATTAAAAAAAAATAAAATTAGAGAGGTGGGATTATTCAATCTTTCCATTTAGCTCTAAATTTGACAAGCGATGTCACACCTAACAAGCCAAAGCCCAGAACCATGATTTGCCACTGAGAAAGCAGCTCAGAATTACTGCAGAAGCAAACTTTTCACAAAACCCGGACAATGTATGCATCAAGGAATTGTTTCTCTTTTTCCCTGTCAACTGCACTCAATTTACACAACTGCAGTTCTTTAGGCATGTTAAAATATACCAACTTCTATTCAGGCATTTCTTTCATATATTCATAATGTCTTCAGATATTATATTGTTTTATAAAAACATTTTCATAAAAAAAGACATTCATGTAACTATTCCAGAGATTCATCCATAAATGTAAATCCCAATAACATCTGAGAATTAAAATCACAATTAACACCTCAATTATCAGGACCATAGTCAGAAGCAGAACATCAACTTGAAGGATAAAGATCTAAGTTTGAAGTACATGTTTGGACTCCACGGGCCTCTAATGATAATGATGCATGCAAGCCTGTCTTTAATGCACAGTTTATACTGAGAAAACAAGTCTCTCACTAATTATTATAATTTTTTAAATCAAATCTCAAAAATGGCTTAGAAACTTAAATGGAAAAACACTTTACCAAAACAAGTAATTTAATTCATTTGGGCAATAATTAGGCTTTGGGAGATTCAACATCCAAAAAGTAAAACAAAACTCCCTCGATAATATATGTCATTTTTAAGAACAACTTGGTTAAGAGCTCACTTACCAAGTAGTCAATTATTCAAGAAATTTAGCCACCTCCTGATGAACCAAAATAAGGTTTCAGAAATTCTATGTATTTTATTTGTAGGAAGGAGTCTTTTTCTTTAAGAAAAATTTCAATAATCTTCCTTCTCTGGATTCCCTAACCTCAAGAAAAGGAAAGGGGACGAAAAGGGAGGAAGGCAGGAAAAGGAGAGAGGAAAGCTTAGGAAAACTGAAGACAGACATATTGGACATCTATATGCTAGGCAGGAAGAAAGGAAAATAATAGAACAGACAGACTGCAAAGAGGATTAGGGCCAAAGGGTGCAGATTAAGAGACACCTTCAGAGATCTTAATCATGCAAAGGAATTAGCATAACACAGAATCGTGCAGTAGCTGATTTTGGTCACAGAGAATCCTCAGAAAAGATATGGATAAGCCTCAGTTCTTTTTGAAAAACAATTTATATACACTTAATAAATCCTAACCATTCAGCTAAAATATATACAAAAAACTAAATAAAAGTGAGATCGAGAAATATAAGCAGCAGTAACCATAAAGGCTTAGAACTAGTGACACTGAATTCTTTATTTAAAAAAATTTTGAACACACAGTACCTCCTCTTCTCTTCTATTTTTAGGAAGAAGCTTTAACAAGTTTTAAATATCTCAATTCTCAAAAACAATAGGCTTTTTAAAAAATAAGACTTGATTACCAGAAACAAGTAATATGTGGTTACATACCATTTTCATATCACTACTCATTTCCATTATTTGTCAATTCATCTTTGAGGCGATCTGGAAATAATTAAGCAGTCACTAGATACCTGTTTTGGAATCTGAAGAAATTATTATTCACCACAGGAATCTAATGATATACATTTGCATATATTTAAAATTTCAGAAGGGAAAAACTAATAAACTATCCTAGTTACTTTATGCCAAATATTCATATACGTAGTCAAAACAATAAGGATTAAGATCTTTCTCCAGATGAACTGTATATAAAAGCTATTTTTTAGCATTTTCTTTTGGGGATTAAAAAAAGCTTTATTTCCCTGCTAGCTAAAAGCAGGAATTCATCCACAAGTAAGTCCTTTAGAGATGAATATTAAATTCCTTAAGAGAACAGCCATAAAATTTATTTTAAAAAATTTATCTTAAAAAAACTGAAAACCATTTCGCTCTTTAAAATCGATGGCATTAATACCTATTTGACATAATATAATTTTTTGAAAGGGCACCAAGTTCATGATCGAAGCATGCAAAATAAGGAAATGAATGTATCATTGTCTTAACAGAATTTGGCAAACCAGAAGAATGGCCTCAAAATAAATAAATAAATAAATAAATAGAGTACATATTGTCTAAATATGAAAGTATAATTCTGTAGGCCTATGCAACAGATAGTGCCCCATAGAGCTAGGGAAGAGGGAAGTAGCATAATCCTATGTACATTTTCTTGGTATTCTGGTTGTCCTTCAACAACACACTACAGAGAAATATTCTTTTTATTATTACAAAGCCATTAAATGCCCTCTCTAGAGCAATGACTTAGGTAAACGTCCTATGTCTTTTAATAATGTAACTTACATTTAAAATTAACTTAATTAAATCTAAGTGCAAAGGAGTTTCCAATAATTCCTAAATTCAAGGGAGTAATGTAATGAATAAGGTGTTACCTTATTGCAAATTTTGAGTGGTTGATATTTCTATATTTTAGGATATTTCATCTTATCTTCTTTTAAACGATAAAATGTACTGATATTATTTGGTTTCCTTTACTTTCCTTTACTTCGTTTTATTTTATGGTATCTCTATGTAGAGAAAGAGGTATGTTAAAATACTGCTATTTTTATTTTTAAAAATTCAATTGAGGCTATATGTGACCTATTAATCTATAGGACAGCATTGTTAATCTTTGACCTGGTATATTAATTCCTTTGGTGAATAAATGTCACAGGTCATTGCTTTATAAAAGATTTTTAGTACGAGGACCAGCAGTACAGAGAAAGATCCCCCGCCCCCCACCCTCACCCCTGAAAATGATCAAGTCAATCAGTAGTTTAGAGCAGTTGTGTAAAATATGAAAAATATATAATTTGCCGCTGCAATTTTCATATTAAAAAGCAGTTAAAAACTAAGAGTAGCTCAAAGCATTCCAAAAAACATTTTCTGTCTTGGTTAAACAGGCCAACTGATAAGACTGATAGAGACTACTGTGAGAACTTATATGTATCTAGTCAAGAAAGAACAAAACGTGTTTAATTTTAAAAAAGTGGTATTTGCTAACTATAGTATAAACAGTGTCCACAATTTGGTGGCTGGCCATAGTTTTAATTTTTTTTCAAGTTATTCTACAGCAGACATATTTTTGAAGTCTACCCACCCCTGAGTTCAGCAATTATACTTTTAGAGTGTAAAATTATATGCCCTTAATTAACAACATGTACAAAGCTACAAAATGTCATCTATACAGAGATTAAAAACAATTTTTGAAAATATTCCTTGCCAATTATTGATTGGATGTTTTGCTGGGGTATATACTTCAAATCTTTCAGCCAACTGGCTTTTATTTTTAAGCCCAAATTGATCCATATATTTATTCACTGCAGGATATGTCAAAAAGAGTGCAACAACAGGCAATAGTAAAAATAACATTGTAGTAGAAACAGATTTTTGCATATGTGAAAAGGTAATTTATAAAATACATAATTGCTTTTTAAAAAGAGAACCTAGTTGCAGTATCATTAACTTACATGGTACTGAGAATTGGACGTTTCAACAATTTTTTTCTATAGAAAAATTTTATCTAGCTGTAAGCAAAGTCTTTTAAACAACAAGAAAACAAAACAAATCCCTCCAGGAAAAACTGCACGGTTGTGTGAGACAAATAAGCAAACATACCATTCTATAGTGTACTTTGCCTAAATTTTAAAATAAAAATGTCCACACTCTTTTGTTAAAACATTAAGCCTCTGTCAAAAATGTATTTCTTATTTTAGGGTACAGGATTAAAGGACAAAATGATACTTACAAGTAAAGAAAATTTACAAGAAAAAACTTGACAAAAGCTTTTCAATTGAAGTACTATAACATTCAAACTTGACTTAAAACATAACAAAAGAAACAAAATTGCAAATGAAAATCGTTTATGGATTTTCCAAACATAAATAAAAGAAATAGTGTTTAGGCAGTAGGGCTCATGCTGATGGCTAGCAGGAAGTAACAGAGTGTAATCTACTTGGAAAAATCGTTACTGTACAAACAAGCCCCAGTGAAGGACTGCAGCAATTGCATCATCACTGCCATTGTTCTTACTTCCAAAATCAAGCCTTGATTCAACCATTCATACCCTAGATTATTCATACCTTTACTTCAGAGATTGAGGAACTATATACAACAAATGAATTTATTTTCACCATAGGGATAACAATATTGTACCTCTCTGCCAATGTTACGTGAAAACCTTACATGTCAAAACAATTTGACAGCAGATATAAACAATTCAATAAATACTCAATGATCTTTCATTATAGTCCTTTAAAGACGCATGTTAATTCATGCTGTTAACCTCAGGATCACAGTGCATAGAATCCAAATATAAACAGTTGGGGTGACTTTCAAAGTAATGTTGGATCCCTCACTTTATTTATAATCCCACTATAACCAATAAGCTCATTTCATAGGCCCTATCATGCATTAATTATTGGGTGGCAGGAGTTAATGAAAAATTTTCCTGTTAAACGTCCATTGCCGGCAATGAACGTCCCAAAACCGCCAAGGAAGTCATTGTTATTGCACAATACATGAGGACCTGGAACTTTTCCAAAAGCTTAAAAAAATAAAAATAAAAAATGGAATTATATTGACATTTCCTGACACCTGCATTAATACTGTATGACTAATAAAAGCATGTCAGTTGCCTGGACTGAACCAGCGATCAACATGCGCCCAGAATGCACACGAGTAAAAATGCAGTAAAAGGAAGTAGTCTTCATTGCCTATAGGTCACTTCCAGTCAAAGGTTAAAGTTCAAAGACTGAATGATCAAAGTGCTCATTTTCTCAGTAGGACTATCTTCTGCTAGGAGGATGATAACAGTGGCATCAACAAGTATCATCTTTAAGAAAAGGGAAAAAAAAAGATAATTAAAAAAGTCAAGCATGCATAAGTAAAATCCACAAGTTAGTCTAACATAGAAATAATTTCAAGTAGCAAGAAGAACATGGTTTACATGTCTGACTTGCCTCCCCCAACCCTTGCAAATAAAAAGTCCAGTTTGTTTCAGTTATATACTGACAAACAAATCAAGTTCTATTCTTTAACGGAAATAGTAGTTCACACAAGTCTTAGATGATGCATCAGTATGTCAGTTCTATTTTAAATAATAAATTGATATATGATAGCACATATTCAGGATTTATCAGTCTAAGAGTCTTTTTTGGGCAACAATTTTAAATTGTAATGAGAAAGGAAGTAAATTCCTGACCAACAATGTCATGGTGTTTAACACAGGATAATTCAAGTTGTGTCTTTAGTCTAGAAAGGAATAACTTTACAAATGAAGTATCATTGCCAAATCAATTAATACATTTCTCTTAAGAAAATACATTTAAAAAATACACTTTTCAGCAAGTATAGATACATATACAAATGAGGTCATTTTAAAAAAATCCCACAGGTTTAGAAATGCCTTCTGGTAGCCTCAAACACATTATGTAAGACATATAATTGTGGGGTTCATAATGTATTTTACAAAATTATTTCACAAGACATATCTGAAGGATTTGAAGTCTAGTTACTGTTTAGAAAACTTTAGAAAGAAGCAAGACTATTGGCAACTACCCAAGACTTGTGAAAGCTCTCATGAGAGCATTTCTGAAAAACTGGTCAAACTACAAACTACGTTAGGATCTATGTTAAGATCGATACACTGCTAATAAAAGTCCTCATTCCCAATGACTCAATGAAAGCTAAAAACCTCTATGTCTGATTTCTATGCTGGGCAAACTCATATAGAATATCCCATCACCCTGTACTTTAAGGGAAATTTAAAGGGTGAAATATACTAGATTTTTAAAATAAATCTTACCTAAATCATTAGAAATCTTTAAAGAAAGAATATCTTTAAGAAAATAAGTGGATAGTTTGCAGCTTCTAAGTGTCACATGAAAGTATCTGTTTCTTAAAATACTGTGAAACTTAAAGAGGAGATATGGATGTCATGAATACAGAACAAACCTAAGAATGTAAAGAGGTCCCTTAAAACATCTCTTCCAACAGAGTAATTTATAACACTAGGGTCCTTGAAAAAACTAAAACTAATCACACTTACATCTCTAATCTAAGAGATGGCACTAAATTCTACCTAACAGGTCAAATTGTAAGTATCTTACCACATGGCAATCTCTACAACAAGAAAAGTGAGACAAAATTCATCTTGAACATTATGTACCTAATGTTCATAATAATAAGCTCTTATCCCCATAGACATACCGTCTTTGATAGGCAATAACAAATCTATCTCCATCAGGTTATCCATTCTGGAAGTTTTCAATACAGTAGGCTGTTGGAGAATATGCTCCAACCCACCAAAAAATGGTTAAGAAATCCAAAAAAAGCTATTCTCCCTAGCCCAAGCCCTACCTTGGATTAGAGGTTAAAAAAAAAATTAAGATTAATACTAAACTCTCTGCCTTGAATACTCTAGCGAAATAAGCTTACTAATCAATAAGTTTTGAAAATGGAGTTCAATTATCTCTTATAGCTGGACTCACAGGGACACATGGACTTTCAACATTACAAATCCATCATGGCTGTAAGTAATCAAAGAATCTATGAGCAAATACTTAAGTATGGAAACAAGTATGAGCTAATGCCACGGCTAACTTTTCCCCAAATAAAAAAGCCATCACCAAGAAGCAAAAAAATCATTTGTTAAATACTAAGATAATTTACAAAAAAAGAGGTTTTAGAATAAACTCATCATGGATCAAAAGACAAATGTAAGTCTACAAAACGTGATCAAAGAACAAAATCTATCTAGCCTCTTGGCTAAAGTATTTGTAGTAAGATGAAGGTCTGAAAAAAGAAATCAGATAAACAATTTAATTTTTTTTTTCTGGAACTGTAGAAGCCCTTATTGAAAGTATACCCTCAAATATAATATACAATAACCAGTTATAAAGATGACATCTACTATGACTAACTTCAATGGGCTTTTAGGAAGTTAAGAGAGAGAATTATATTAAAAGAAGGCCATACAGTTTTCCCCAGAGTATCAGAACCAGCACATTTTAATGGACACCACAACCATCACATTATATTGGAAATCATCTCCTTAGATATTTCCAGGGACAAAAGTCTAGAAGAAAAGGAACCCAGTAATAAGTCAGTAATAATAAAGTGGGGAAAAAGGAATCCAGTAATAAGTCAGTAGATACGAAGGTGGGATCCTACTTCCAAGAAAGACAAAAATAAATCTTTACATGTAGGTTTGTCTCTCAACAGTTTAGGGGATTAAAGTTGTCTTGATTAACCAATTCAAGAAAGATTTCAAAGACAAGAGAATTGTTATCTAGGAGGAAATAAAGGGGAAAAAAACTGCTAAAATGGGTAAAAATTTGGACTTAGGAATTTAGAAAGTAATTCTGTAATCCTAAAAGGTAGTGGAAATATAAAAAGGTTCACAACTAATGGAGGTAATTCTACGGACAGCTATAGGGCAGGAAGAAAAAGTTTGTTAATACTAGTCTGAGATGATTTTATGTTCCTATCACCTTGTAATCCTTAGAATTCTACAGGAAATGTCCCAGCTGAATGGAACCAGAATGCAGTCTATAGTTTCCAAAAAAAAGATATTCCTCTACTCCTCCCCAAATTTATAAACTCAGTTCCTACCCATAACATCTAAACATATGCCATTCTATTTCCTGTAAGCCTAGTTTTCTGAAGCGAATACTCAATTACAGTCTTAAGCTCTACTGCTCAATTCTCTATCACCTTAAGGAAAATGCTTCAGGAACCAGGTCAGTACAGCTCTCTATGGAAAGCAATCATTTATGAAACTAAGTTGTATATGTTCAATTTGGAGCCTGGAAATAGATGGATCATATTTAATGGATTCTATTAGCTATCTTATTGAAATATTTTTATGATCTCATAAAATATACCTTTTATCTTTTTCAAGAATTATGGCTATTTTATGATTTTGAACTTTGAGGCTCATTCATTCATTTGTGCACTAAACTGTATACACTTCTTTTCTAAGGAACAGTTCTAGCCCTGAATTCCTCAGCTCCTTGTATGCTGAAATGAGCTGTGTATTCAAATACCTATTTGGGTTATTTTCCCTTATTTTTTTTAATCCTATTCTGTTTAATTGGTTTTTTAAAACATATAGACCTCTGCCCTAAGTTTGCAACACAGAGTATTTGTATTCCAATGCAGATATGGACCATAATCCTTTAGTGAACAGAAACTATAAAAGAATTCTGGGAGACAGGTTAAGAGTAAACTTCAAGTAAGTAACAATACGGAATATGTGTTCACATATCAATAATTTTTTATACTTTAATAGGAGCTAGAGAAGAATCCCAAAAGAAATGCATATTGAAATGCACAAGGAATGATATCACAAAGAAGGTTAACAGTAGGGTAGCAATAACTGGCCTACATTTTCAAGATATACTAACAATGTGGAAGATCCACAAATTTAAGTTGAAAGAGGGGTTTTTTTCAGGAACTTAACACTGGTATTTGAGAGCTCAATTTTGGTGTATCAGTAGAATCCTATTCTTCTAAAACCAGGAGATTACGGTTTTTCATTAACAGTGCATCCATCTTGCATCCAGGAAGCCCCCTCTGAAGTACACAGGTATTATGGATCTAAACTCAAACCTCTCTTGCCTCTTTGATTACAAATACTGACACTCTGACTCACCCTGACCCAACTATGTTGGTCAGCACCACAGAGGACTATGAAGCTTGTACCTGAGGCTTACAATTGTGCTTGGCTTCTAAAAACTGAAATCTTGATTCAGTGAGTTATTCCAATTCTAAGCAAATCTTTGTTCAGTCTCTGATCTTTTTGTTTAGGTTTGCAGGTCACATTTGGGACTCTGATTTGACCTTATAATCCTTCCAGAATTAGATAATACTAAGAAATAACAAAAGTCCATATTTCTTGGTAATTTGGTGTTAAAAGGAGAACATGATCAATGAAGATCTTTTAGAACTAAAGCAGCTAAACAAAAAAACAAGCTGACATCTGAGCTATTTTCACATTGTTTATAACTCACTCTGAAATGTATAAAGGCAAAGACAATATATGCTATAGAGCTAAAATGCTTTAGTTTTTTAAAGGTGAAGGAAGGATTGTCTAAACCCACCCACCTTTATGAAAGAACAGTTGCTCTATCATCTCAAAGTATAACTAGTATTACCTGTCCTTGATTTCATATAAGGGTCACTCATGGAGCAAACTGTTGATTCAAAGGGAGATTCTGGGAAGGAAATGATTCAGATATGCAGGGTTCAAGCATGAGTAGAAAACAGACTGAGATACGAATAATCACTGAGCATGTTTTAAACAGAATTATCTGTAAATGAAAAAAATTATCTGTACCTAGGACCAGAACCTGAGCTAAAATAGTTATTATTTAGTTGAAATAGAATCTGGTCCTTTTAAAATGGCTAATTTGTATTTGGGGGTAGAAGGGAAGGGAGACACTTTTAATCTGTTTATTAGTAAATGAATTCCTACATAAACCCAGGACTAGTATACATTAAGAGGCTAATTTAATTTGAGAAACCTCTCTTTTCTTTGTATTTCTTGGTTAAGCTGGAGAATTTAATAGTTTAAACTATTAAAAGACTTTTCTATTTTAGTCATGAAAGTATACATTTCTTGGTTTAACAGAAAAAATTACTATGAAAAATAACTGCTACAATGAAGTGTATTTTATTTTAAAGAATTTATTTTATATTTCTAGTTTCACTATGTGACCTTTCTCTCTTTCTTATTCTAAAACACATAATGTGAGATTCTGGGAATATTCTTAGATAAATGACTTCTCATAAGGCAGCATTAGAAGGCCTGAAAGATTGTAATCTTTCTGAAATTTCCCTACCAGGGAAGAAGGAAGGGAAAAAAATAGGAACACACTGTCTAACATTGAAGCAGCACAGAATAGCAAAGATTATACTTTCAAAATATATGTATTTTTAAAAATTCATTACTCTAAGGAAATTTCTTCTCAGTTTTAATAGAAAACTCAAGTGGTTTAAAAACACTGTGGAGAAGGCAATGGGGGATTTTTCTATTATTAGTGAAGTTCAGGTTGAAATAGAATGACTAGGCTTGTCAATATTCTTGATTGACTAATCTTACTTTCTATGCTAAGACAAATGGGTCTGTGACATTCAAAATTTTGTTTGTTTCTTTGCCTGTTTTTTTTGGAAGGCCTCCTTGTAAAGGCGCAGAGAGAAGAGGCAGTTTGGTTTTTGGTCCTCAACGGCAAGAAGATGAAAAAGAATGAGAAGTCAGTAATGTAAACTGAAGTAAAGGGCTGTTTACTTAAAGTAGGGTCTTGTTAAATGCTTTATTTTTTATTTTTTGTTGTTTTTTGTTAAATGCTTTAGCAGACCTTCAGTGCTCAGAATTACTTAAGTCTGATTACTCATTTCATATGGAAACTTGTCCTTTTAAGATTTTATTTATTTATTCATGAGAGACAGAGAGAGAGACAAAGAGCGAGGCAGAGACACAGGCAGAGAGAGAAGCAGGCACCATGCAGGGAGCCCAATGTGGGACTCGATCCTGGAGACCCAGGATCACGCCCTGGGCTGAAGGCAGCGCTAAACCGCTGAGCCACCCGGGCTGCCTAAAACTTGTCCTTTTGTATCTCAGAATCCCTAAAACAGTAGTTCTCAAGTGACAAGCTGTATCAGAATTATCTGGGGATCTCTTAAAAACTAAAGCAAAATCAACATTCTAGGCATGGTAATAAGGTTTAGTAGATTCCTTAAAACAGAAAGTAATCAGCAAGATTTTGGTGAAAGAATTCCCAATAGGGTGTGTGTGGGAAAGGGTTTGTTGAGGAAGGGTGCTTTTGTGTGTGCCTGTGCAAGACTGATTTCAGGAAAATAGCATATGGAGGATAAGAAATAGAGTACATTATAATGCCCCACTGAACATTCCATGTATAAAAACACTTCTTGTTTTTTTTTAAGATTGATTGATTGATTGATTGATTTATTCAGAGAGAGAGAGAGAGAGAGAGAGGCAGAGACACAGGCAGAAGGAGAAGCAGGCTCCATGCAGGGAGCCCGACGTGGGACTCGATCCCAGGTCTCCAGGCGGCGCTAAACAGCTGTGCCACCGGGGCTGCCCAAAACACTTCTTGTTTTAAAGATGATTCTCTTAGGATGGATTACTCTCAAGTTTGGTAACAGACAAAAAGCTTGATCTTAAACTTTAAGCTTGTTAAATATTGCTGAACTTGCTATACCATCAGTAAATATAAAGTACTATTCTACCCTTTACTCTTTTCAGCACTGCATTCATTTTAGTCAACTCTGCCAATTTAACAATAGTTTCAAAATATTAAATCTGTAATTATTTTATTGCAAACTTCTGGCCTATGTTTTTAATTAAGTGTATTTCTTATGTTAAACAATTTTCATAAATGGTCTTTATTTTTAATAAAGCTATAATTGTTCACATTTTTAAACCTTATGTTGACTGTGCTTTGAGGTTTTTCTGAAAGGTTTAAATTTTCATAAGACTATTTATTTAAGGGACGCCTGGGTAGCTTAGTGGCTGAGCATTTGCCTTTGGCTCAGGGCGTGATCCTGGTCCGGGGATCGAGTCTCACGTCGGGCTCCCTGCAAGGAGCCTGCTTCTCCCTCTGTCTTTGTCTCCTGCCTCTCTTTATTTATTTTTTTAAGATTTTATTTATTCATGAAAGACACAGAGAGAAAGGAAGAGACACAGACAGAGGGAGAAGCAGGCTCCTTGCAGGGAGCCCGACGTGAGACTCGATCCCCGGACCAGGATCACGCCCTGAGCCAAAGGCAAATGCTCAGCCACTAAGCTACCCAGGCGTCCCTTCATAAAACTATTTAACGTCTTTGTGATTCTTTTTAACTTCAGAAATCTTTCCTTCCTACAGAGTTGATAATTAAATTTAGAAAAAATAAAATTTCTCTTGTTGTTTTATTTTATTCTATTTTTAAAGATTTATTTATTCATGAGAGACACACGGGGGGGAGGGGCGGGGCAGAGACATAGACAGAGGGAGAAGCAGGCTCCATGCAGGGAGTCCAATATGGGACTTGATCCAGGGACTCCAGGATCACGTCCTGGGCTGAAGGGAGGCACCCAACCATTGAGCCACCCAGACGTCCCTCTCTTGTTTTAAAAAAATATTTAATTCAATCCATAGGAAATACTTTATATATGAAGTAAAAACGTGAATTTTTCTCTCCCAAAATGACTACCAACTCTTTAATAAGATTACTTACTAAATATTTTTTCTCATTGGTTTTGACATCCAATTTACTATATATTACAATCTTATATATAAAAAGGCCTAGGAAAGAGTAATTCTCTTTTGATGTCTATTCCTGCATTAATATGTTTTGGTATCTGGTAGACCAATTCTCCTTCATTATCCTTTAGTTCAAAATACAGACTGCTCCTCTCACCTATTATTTTTTTCCAAAAATTTCAAGCATTTACCCATCATTCCACCGGATTTTTACTAAATTAAACTTTTAATTTGTAAAGAAAACACATTTTTCTGTAATAATAGTTTGTCATGAAATAATTCTATTTTTTCTTAGCTCTCATTAAGTTTTGTCATTTTTTTCTTCTAGGTCATCTATTGTTGCCATTAACACTAGCCTGAATATTTACCTTTCCATGGCTCTCAAGAATGGCATTCTTCTTTCACAGTGTTTTCTAACTTGTAACTGCTGGCAGAGTGCTATTATATTGATTCTAGTCATCACTAACACCTGGAACTCTTATAATTTAAAAAGTTTTTAAATAACTCAAATTAACTCAGGTAACAGAAGATTTCACAATGGATAGAAAGGTAAAGGGGAAAGGCCATATTCCTATTAGTTGGCTCTGTCAGTTCTAATTTCTTATTAGGCTAACATTTTAAAAAAGAATAATAAAGGAAATGCTCTTATGGATACAAAACTCACAGGGGGTGGTTTTTTGTATACTTCAAAATGTAGATTGAGGAATATAAAATTTTGTTTTGAATTTCAAATACACCTCTTTAGGGAAGCAGTGAGGTCAGTTTAGAAAAGATGCTAGCAGTTTTCAATTATAAAGCTATTAACACTCTCCCAACAAAAACAATAAAACAAAATCAGTGAGACTACTGTATTTATACAGCTACAATCAGGAGCACCACAAATTTTTGAGGACAATTAGAACAGGAAGAGCTTTCTTTAATTTAATGGGTCATCTCTCACAATGTGATCCCCCTCCCGTCACTAAGAACACCACCAGAACTAAGTAATTTCAAAAGACATCAAAGCTTCTATTTCAAGTAACAGGTTTCCCAATAACTAGTTCCATCTAAGGATTATTAAGGACTCTTTTTCAGTAATAAAATGGTAGCGTTTCAGAATGTTAAAGCAATTTTAGATTTCACTTCTATAGTAGCTATGATTTCACATGCCTCAATAAAAATCTAGCCCAGTGTATCCATTAAATGGCTTAAATGTTTTAAAGACTCTTTTCCATATTACAAAAATACATCAGTTATATATTCCCTCCTTTCCCCCCAGCAAATAGATATATAATCTTTGAAACCAAAATGTTAAAAAGTCATCATTTTAAAATAAAAGTGCTTACCATGATACCACCATTTTGTTTTCTTTGGATTCTTGTTACATGTTCGAACATAAAAAGAATTATCTGGTGGTCGTCTCTGAAACCAAAAAGAGTTTGAGTTGTAAAATGGAAGAAGATTTAAGAAGACATATTTAGTAAAAGCTTTGACAGAATTATTACAGAAAGTATAAAAACAATGTAAACGCTGGTGCGGCAGAACTGAAATAATAGATTCCAAGAAAAGCAGACCCCTGATACTGCAATGAAAAAGAGGGGGGGGGGCGGTTATGCATGTGTGATTTGGGTTAGGGTCCAGTGGAATTACTAGACGGTGACTATTAACCCAAAGCAGCAGCATTAGATTTTAAAGAATTTCGGTTTCATTTATTTTATCTCTCTAGAATAATTTAGTAATGACTTTAGTGAACTAATTATTTTAGTGAACTGAAATACAGACTAGGCTTGTCTGAGAAACTAACAGCAACTTATGTACTTCCACAATTACTGTTTTCCTGTAAGATAAGAATCACCAAGGACAGACCAAAGGATTCAGTTTCCAAACACTATACAAGAGCGAAAAAGGGGAAAAGCTATATTGGCATATACAGGCCCTGAATAGCACAGTATTAGAAACCTATGGCAGCTCTGCAAGGGAGCTACAGCAGAAATAGTGATGCCAACAACACTGAAGACAGATTATGGAAGGGTATTTCCCTGAAAACTGCTGGATACCGAAGAAGAAGAAATATGTGATTCTCTACAAAAATCTGGAAACATATCAAATTTATATAAAAGCCACAGAATACAGGTTAGTAGATAAGTTAGTAAGTAGATCCAACCAAAAACCAATGGTGAGTAGGACTGCCTTGATAGCAGGTAGGGAAACAGGTAGTCCACTTGGCACTTCTACAACTCATGTACATAACTCTGATCTTAGTTGAGCCTAATAATGCCCTTACAAGTTAACATTAATAGTAACTTAACAAAACGGAAAAGCAGAGCATAAGATGTTAAACTACCTCAAGATTACCTCACTGATACAGTTTGAGAAAATATCTGAAAAATTAGTATATGAAATTAAATGCCTGACAATTTCAAAGAATGATCTGCTGCTGTTTGTCCTGCAAAGTCATAATCTGTGTTCATGTGGAATAAATTGCTACCAATGAAAACAGGTAATTTCATAATATTGATTAGAACACCATCTTCAAAAAAAAAAAGGAAGAAAAAAAAAGGGGGAAGAAAAACAACACTCATTCTATTTGCTTATTAAGTCAAGAATATAACCAGACTATTGATAAGTGGTTGTGGAGATTTGGTTCTTAGAAAAATAAAGGAACTATACAAAAAGATGGATTATCAAAATTGTTTTAGCAATTAAATGCAAGCTAGAAACTTTGGACTATCTATATCTATATAGATATCTATAAGGGCACTAAGAATAAATAGATTACTGAAAGACCTCTCAATATCAGAAATTATCTTTAATCTACTGAAAGCTATCGATAAAAAGAATTTGCCTTCACTTTAGGGAATCTTTCTTAACTATGAAAAATAAAATTGGAATGAAAGAATTATGACTAAATCAAAGTTCCCAAACTCTTACAATAAAAACTAAAATATGTATTCAAGTCAAATTTTAAAATGAAAGTCATAGAACCACACTAACCACAGAATAAAATTCACCTGTTTTAAAAGAAGAGCTTTTGGTGAGTAGTTACAAGACTTTTAAAAGCTTATTTAAGGAGCTAGATCCCCTCAGTGCCAAAGCAAGTTTGCTCTTCATCTTTGTAACCTAGTACTTGGCTCAGTAAAAACAGCACCTAGTAGGTACCTAATAAATGTTTACTAAATTTATTGTATTTCAGAGAACTAATTAATGCTGCCAGAATTACTTCCATATTATTATCTTGGTTAAATATAATTTAGATTATGTAATATAGCTTGCCAATATTTGAAATGGAATAATTAAGCATATACTATGCAAGAAAACTAGTAGTAGACAACTGAAATATGAAGGAAATAGGATTAGAAAAGGATAAAGATGAAGAATTTATTTTCTAGTTCTTAATAGTAAATTATTACATTTATATTATTGTAAATCATTACATTTATTTAATTATTGTATATCATTATATTAAATGTAAAAAAAATGTGGTAATCATTACAAGGCACATGCAAGAGCTATGTACACACATCACCGGTGTTCATCTCAACTTTTCTTTTTAAAATCCTAGACTTACTGCTTCACCTTCCTAAAGACATTAAACATTAACAAGGACACAGAAGTCTTTGTAACTGCAAACTACTCTACACCTAAACATTTTAAACTTATGTGTGTGCTGGGAGAGGAAGTGTGGGGGAGGAGAAAATATGGAAGCAATAAACGAATAAGATTGTTTCCAAAGCCCTTGGGGTTAACAAAAGCTCAAGTGTAGCCTTAAAATGCAACCTAGAAAAAAAGCCCACAGGCAAAGAGGAAACTTAAAAAGTCGTACTACAATTAGATAATGTGCACCCTAATTCATCTAAGATGTACATTTTTTCTTTACATTTTAATATTCCTGAATGAGGGATACATGTGTTTTATACTAATGGTGTCATAGTTTAACTGCCGTAAGTTTTTTCTTTCTTATATGGTATATAAAATTCCATATTAAGGGCTCTTAATGCTATAATTTAAAAAAAATACAATTTAAACCATTATTTCCCATGCTTCTTTGAACGAAAAAAGCTGTTTTTGTTTTTTTTTTTTTTAAACCTAACACCAAGAAACTTCTTATGGAACTAACATTTCAAAAAACTTACTTTGCCAAGCTAAGCGTGTTTCAGAGTCTAGATAATCTAACATTTAAAAAATGAGCTACTTAAAGTTCTCTAAATACTAATTTAAAGTTCTCTAAATATGAACTTAGTAAAAATGATAGTTGAATTTGGAGAACACAAGGAAAAAACACTGCTGTAATAACCCCACAGATCCCTAATCTGCAAGGTAAAGCTGTTTCTCCTTTAAACTCAATACAAAAGGAAACCCTCATGAAGAAAAGAGGCTTTAAAATATATAAACACACGAACACTATGCTACACTGACCCTGAGGCAGAAATAACAAGAGGGCCAGAAATGCACACGGGATTTAGATACTTTAAAGGGGAATCCTATATTTAACTTATTTGATTTTTCTTTCTGGTATTTTCACCTTTCCAACAGACATAGAATCTGTGAATAAATAAAGGAGAATTAGAGAAAAAGTCCTGAAAATTCTACTGGTAATCTAACCTTCCTCCTTCAACCTAATCACTAGATGATCAGTATGGACAGGAAAGCTCTAGTTGCTGGGAAACCCCCTAAAAGTGGCTGACAGTGTGGGGGCCACCAGAGGGGAGAAAGCAGCTATGAAACATGCTCTTGGGGCTTTCCATGGTGAAATCTAGAAATGAGAATTTCTTGTACACTTCTGCCCTGTGCATGCTTACAGAAATAAAATTCATATTATTTAAGAACATCTGCAGAAATTTTCTGTTTAAGAAATATAAAACAATGTCTTACTTCCATGTGGAATGAAAGAGTATCAAAATACCTATTTCTAATCTATTACTAAACATATTATCTATAACTTCATAATAAAAGGCATTAAGTCCTTCCTTCACATAGTATTAAAATAGTTTCGCTACCTAAACTAAAAGAATAGATATTACCTGGAATAATTCTGAGAAGTCCTACCTTTTCTTTGCAGCTGGAAAGCATGCTAATAATGCTAAGACAAACTGACTGGACTGAGAGCGCTGGGGACCAGTCTTCTGTTAGAATGGATAAACAGATATGACCATTGCTATAAACATGAGGATGAACGGGAATATTTTCACCAGTAAACATGACCTAAGAAAGAATAAAATTCCATTAACACTCAAATATTCTGTATTACCAAGACATAACATATTCTCCACAGAACTTATTTTAAAAACCAGTTAAAAACAAAATAAGTGCCAGAAACAAGGATAAACAACTGCCTGCTGTTTATTCTCGTCAATTCACAAAGTACGGGTTTCATTGTAGGAATGAGCACGTAGGTAGGGGATGGAACATACAGAAAAAAAAACTCAGGTTACCTGTTTTTTATTTCAGCTATTTTTCACAAATTCCCTTTAAAAATTTATAAATTACCATGCATATTTAGCCTAATAAAGACAACTATATTTGTAAGAACACTTTTTCAAATTGTACTCATTGCTCTCTGCATATAGAAACACAAAAGTATTTAATTTTGAGACAACATGAATTGCATATGACAGGAACATCACTTCTACCTGTAAAAATGCTATTACCTGAGGTGCTCTGTGCAAAAGGAAATAACTGTTATATATATCTCACCTTCTCTGAACTCACTCATCCATTATGATGGGTAAAAATTACTACTTATTGATCAGCAAATAACTATGTGCCTACACACAAAAAAAACAAAGGTTGAATGAGTCAAGTTTTTCTCTGCCTTTTCTTCTACTTAATTCTTCTTAACAGGTTTTCCTTTCTCCATCTTGCCACAGCACCATTTTGAAAGATAATAAATCTACTATTCCTTCCTTTGCCCTCATGATTAAGTATCCCCATAGCAGTGTTTCGCAAACATATCTACCTTCAGCATGTGAATGAGGCAGAAGAGTGAATTTATACATCCTGATTCAGAATCTGTAACCAGAGCCCAAAGTAGGACAAAGAAACAGAAGTCTAATATTTAAGAATGTTTATGTTACTTCATAAGTTACTTAATTTGATATAAAAATTAGTCCAACCTTTACATGATTTTTATAATGCAGTAAGACATAACATTTTTATTGTTTAGTAGTAATTATTAATTCCTGACCTTAAAAATAAAATCACCAGAAGATCTGGCTAAAAATACAAGTGCAACACAGCTCCACTTTCACAGATACTGATTTAGTAGGTATGATGGGATTTTTATAAAGCTCACCATATATAAACCAGTAGTTCCCAAACAACACTTACAGTATCTCTCTTAGCCCTAACAAACTGTCTCACATTTGAATACAGCAAAATCTTAGTAAGAAGAAACCCCACCTTCAGTTATATCAGAAATTAATAAAATATTTATTGCTCTGGGTATAACCTATTTTCCCCTTTATATAAGAGCAGAGAGCCAGTGAAATACATGTGGCTAGAGTAGTATGTCATCATTTAATATGGGACATGTTACAGAAAGATACCATAAACTGAGTTTTTGCTTTTATTTTCAAGTATCTAACTACAAATCTGACTTCATTACAATTTCATAAATACTTACATTTTAACAAAGCACTCTTTCATATAATTAGGAGTCCTCTAATATTTCAAATATACTACTAACATATGGAACACATTTCCTTGGCTGAAGCTAGTAGAAGACAACAAAAGGAATGACTACATACTTGCATAGTTTTTGTTTCTTTAAATTCCGGTCATGCACTCTCCATTCCCACTAAAAAGAGCTAAAATAAAGCTGAAAACCAGGTTTCAAAATAAGAGATATCAATTTACTTGCCCTGCCTGATTGCAGAAGATTACCCAATCGACAACATTAGCACAGCTGTGCTTGAAGAGTATCATTTATCAATTTTATCTATCAGTGCTAGTATCCTTTTCATCACTTTTTGCTTAAAAAAAAAAGTGCTGCTCTGCTAAAGGAAATGACTGCTTAAATGGTCTTGCAGCTCCCATACTTTCAGTCTATCTACAATTATTTTTAATTTTATTTTTTATAAACATGTAGTATATTATATTCATGTGATATTCGTACAATGTGTTATAGATGTCTAGAATGAAAGTTTACAAATCTCACAGAATATGCATCTGCTCTGGGGTATTCACTCTGCCACAAAAATCCCATTTGACCAGTAGGATATTTTCATTAAGAACACAAACAATGCCCAAGACCTTATCCCCTGGCCTCAAGTATTTTTTAAAGGGTATTTCTTTTCCAATAAGGTCTCCTTTTTAAAAGGTCACGTAGAACAGTGCTCTGAAAGTGCCAAAAAATGGGAGAACTCCCAAGTTATCTTCTTTGGCAAAAATTAATCAATGCATCAGCAACCATCAAGGAAAATACACAGACAGCAAAATACGAAGGTTATCACAACATGCTCTGACTAGCCAATTCACAAAGCAGAAGGAAAAAGCAGTAGTGGTCTTGGAGAGAATGGATTATAAACTAAATCACCTGGCCTTAGAGCCAAGAAATACCCACAAACCAAAAGGAAATCAGGAGAGAGGAAAAGGGATGGAAGGCAGAAGACACCTACAGCAGGAGCAGCAGACATGATAAGCACTGAAGAGGGCCAGAAATCAAGACGGAAACAGTTTCAAAGGCTGAGGAGACTGAAATAAAAATAAATCAGATCTCAATAAACCTTATTAAAAAAAAAAAAAAAAAAAGCTGGGGCTTTTTCACATGCCGCATGCAGGGCAAATGTAGCCAGCCTGAAACTTTCAGCAACCAAACAGGGGGATCAATTAGCACATATTATAGGTAACCTCTAGGGCCTAATCTGCCAGATACAGAATTTTAGAAGTTTGTCTAAACACAGAAAGGCTGAGTTTACATGCCAGAGATGAATTCCTGAAATTAAAAACTGTTTTTCAACAATTTATTCATGTAAAAAGGCTGGTAAGCAGTTTCCACAGTTTTGATGTAAAAACTCTGATTCTGGTTCTTTGCATGTGATGGGGAAAGTAACCAAGGCTGAATTTCTTTAAGATCATGCTGTTAACCATCCTCATTTATTTAACGCATGGTACAATCCAAAGGAGGAAATGGACGTTTCAGTTATTATAATGCAGCCAAGCAGGTTCTGAAAACTTAAGGGATGATTAGCCATATTCAAAATTTTAAAAATTGAAGGAGGAAATCCCAAGTAGCCGATAAAACGAAAACAGATCTAACAAGACAAGTGAATATAATGAATTTGAAACCAAAGGGAATAAGAACTTTGCTAATTGTTTTATTTTAAAAATTATTTATTTTAAAAATATTTTTTCAAACCAAACCTAGTCATATAAACAGTTAACCAGAGAACTGCACAAATTCATAAAACCAAACAATAAAACGGAACTACAGATTTTAAATAAGCAGTTTTATGGAAAAAAAAAAGCCAACATTTTAGAAAAGGATCTTAGATCTAATGCATGTAAAGCACACCTGAAGTTCAGAGCCTGCATTAGAAGCAGTCCTCAGATGAATCTAAATTTCCAAACATCTCCCTATCAATATGGTATATTTTCAAGAGCAGGTGAGATTTAACATAACTATGCTCAGTATCCATATAATTTTGGAGTTAAGTGAGCATAGCCCACATCCAACCTAAAGTTTTAAGCAAGCCAACCTCTGGGTAACTTGGTATCAAATATAATTAAATGAATCATGGTACTCATATGTAATGAAATGAATCACGGTACTCATATGTAATGAAATGAAATCATGGTAATCATATGTAAGGATTTCCAAACATTCAAACTTAATGGTGAATGATCCCCCTATACTAAGATCTGACCACAAGGAAGGCATGCTAATATGTTCAGACTACTGTTCTGCAACTAATTAGAAAGTGAGACATCTAATATAGTGTCAAACTAGGTCAAAACACATATTACAAGAATAAGCTGTATGAAACAAGCTATAAAATATAAAAGCCAAAATACAAAATGGATACCAAGATTTCTCCAGGGACAAGATAAGGGAATGCTTTCCCTTATTAAAATTGTAAGTAGATGACAATACTTAATGGGCAACTACAGAAAGTGAATATACAAGCAGAATTTGTTGTAATCAGATATCTAACTATTAATAATATATGATGTAGGTAATCTAGCATTAAGTGGTAAATATCTGACAAAAGTAACTGGGAATTGGAGTTTTATTTAGCACAGTTTTTAGCTCAATTCTCCCCATTTAGTCATTTAATATGCATTAGTTGCATCACAATTAATTAATAGTTTTTCTGGTCTTTCATAATTATCCTTACCATGCAATCTTACAAGTATTACAAAGTCAAAATTCCTGGATACAATGAAACTAAATTTGGTTCCCCTGGATGGTAACCATTCTCTCTCCTTTGTAAGCTGTGTTCTTCTAGCCTACCAGTCTTCTCCTTTATCTTCCCTCTGCTTTACCCCCAAGGCTTCAACGAACAAGGTTCACTGTTCCCTTTCTCCTTGTCAGGTGTCCTAGTTGCTAGACAATTTAAGGCAATAAAAATGGTTATTTAAGACTTTGGAAAGCTTAACCACCATCACATGAAAGAGCAAGGAGAATGACACCACAAATAAAAGGATGAAAACACTATGAAAATAGGTTCTGGATCTCTGCAATGAGGTAGTACTGAGCAACAGAACCAAAAGGGTCTGGGTTAAGGGGGCATGAATAGGAAGGAGAATAAGTATGAGAAGAAAGCAAATACTCTTTTGCCCCAGTGTTTCTAAAGCTTTGTAATCAAGGCAAGTACATTTTTAGCACAACTTTTAGCATCAATATGATTTCAGGACTAAGTAAAGTATCCTTTTCCTGCTAAAATCATACTTCTCCACCTATTTCTAAAATACCTAAAATTTCTTCAACAAAAATCAGAGTTGAAAAGCTTAAAAAACCAAGTATAACCAGGGCATTTACAAGATAATGTGATTCAATTTTATTGTATTCAAATGGGATGTTTTGACAGAGGAAGGGGCGTATAATATCATAGATATTTGGAAGGGAAGAACTACTAATGTAAGGAAGGAAGCAGAAAGGAAAAGAAGCAAAATAGAGACACTAAAGTTGAGGACTTCACAGTTTGGAAGGAGAGGTGACTATACCTCCTAATTCCTTTGAATAAATCTGTAAATATCCTTCA